TCTTTTTCTTTATTTCAAGCTTTAATTACAGTACCTTTTAAATCTATCTAAGGCATTCACATTTGCTCCATTCTTTAAGAAAAAAAAATCTAATATCTCTTGGTTCTTTTCTATAATTGCAAGCACAAGTGGCATATAACCTTCCCATAATATCATATTAAAGATATTGTGAGAATATGCAAGAATTCTGCATATGCTTCAATTCAGCTTAAGGCATTTTGTGAACATCCACTGAACTTGCTAATAACATGTAAAGGAAGTATGGTACAATGGAACTTTGAAGTGAGAAGACAAGGGCATAAATCCTGCTTCTGTTAGTTAATTCCTGTGTGATCATAAGCAAATTATTTCACTTCTCTGGGCCTTAGTCTCCTCATAATTAAAATAACAGAACGAAACTAGATAGCTTCTGGGATTCCTTCCAGCTACTAGATATTACATTGTGATCAGGATATTAGAAACCCAGGCTTTGTAAGAGACTGTTTCCTACTACTTAAGGAGTATCTTCCTTTCTTGCTATCTTCATGTTGTGATCAATTATTGTCTCCATAAAGCCAACTTTATTTCCTCAGAACTCTGCTAAGCTAAAGCTATATCCTGGTCAGTTTTAAAGCTGCCTAGTTCTCTTTATCCATTCCCCTTGAATGTGTACAACCAACCTTGAAACTCAAGAAAATCTTGCCTAAAGGGGCTTAAACCTAGAAGAAAGTCTTTCTCCAGGAATTTTCCCTCTCTTCTCAGCCCTCCTAATGTGTACTTTATGTCTTTTTCTCTCTCAAGTGGCAGTGAGAAAGAGTTAATCTTTTTCTTAAAAATCAGGAGTTATTCAGTAACTTTACAAAGGAAATGGTATAGTCTTTAGGGAATAGAAAAAAAGGCCCACATACACTTAAAAATTTGTTCTTGTGAAAATTCTGCATCTGTGAAGTTTTATATTTAATATAAAAACATATGCCATTTCTACATGACAAATTGACATTGTGCTCTCTTAAGGAAAGCTCTGTATGGAGAAAAGCAATGTAGGCAAATAATTGATGGAATCATTGCATTCTGGAGAGCAGACATAATATATCATGCAAAGAAAATTCTAGAGAGACAGCCGCCATGGTATGGATAGAGAGCTAACCTCAAAGTCAGTAAGAGCTAAATTCCAGGCCTGACACAGGCCCACATATGCTGGCTGGGCGACCCTGGGAAGTCACTTCATATTTCAGTACCCCAAGACACTCTGTTAGTCAGGGTTGCTTAGCTTCTTTTGGGTCATGGACCCTTTCCAAAACAATCTTTTCAAATGCCTAAAATATATAGAATACAAAGGATGCCAATTACATTGATATAACTACAAAGTTATTGTTGTTTGTTTAAAGTTAATGGATCCCAGGTTAAGAATCATAGAGTAGGTCCTGGTGTAAACCAATAGAGGGATGTTCCTCATTAGGAGGTACAGTGTGAATGAAATCTGCTCGCTTGTCTCTCCTCCCAACTTCAGAAAATTCCAAAGACCAATGAATTTGGACTACAGAATTATTTTAAGTTATTTTCATTAAAGAAATGCTTCCATGAATGTATCGATTATAAAATATGTGAATTGGACACCACGTGATCACACATTTTAGCTCATAAAGTACTTTATTATGCAAGAGATGGGCTTCTACCTTGTTTTTTGCTTCAATATCCTTTTTATGTCCAAGCAGCCTTGCTGCTATGGCTGTGTTCTGTGCAGAGGCAGCATAGAGAAGTGCAGTATTGTCCTTTGGGACAATCAGCTCATGTGGTTGTGGCTATGGTGGGCAGGAGACTGGCCGGGAGCCTGAGAAGAAGGGCCCTTCTCTGGCCCCTTGTAGGATTGTCATTGAACCAAAGCTGCCCTCTATCTCTGGATGTCTGGGGTGGGCCAGACATGCCCCAGTTGCCTCTGCAGGGAAACAGGGCATTGGAGGCTCATCAGACTCTTACTCTGAGCTCAGATTCTAGTTGATTTCAGGCCAGGTTAGCTCATGGCAGGTGTTAATTTTGTTGGGATAGGGTTGGAGGGGGGCTTGTTAGAATTAAGGCTGGGATGGGAGAGGGAGGGTAAATTTTTTGGCTCTGGGGGCCCGATCTTATTATGTATATAGATAGAGATGTTTCTATTTGTATGTAGATCTATTTCATGGTTCTTTTTTTATCAGAAAGAACAGCTAAGGGCTTCATTACTGGCTGCCTCCTTGTGGGCCCAGTGTGACATTCACTACAGCCCCAGCTTGGGGAGGGGTTACCTCTCAAGCACTAATACCTACAGTGGCATCACAGTCCTTTCTGCCTCTTGCCATCACTAGGGAAGGCAGAAGTTCACACCACAGGGCTGGCCACTTGTTCCCAAAGCCAGCAGAGGGGCCTACTCTTCTGCAGGTTTCAGGGGCCAGCAGCAGTAGGTGCAGGGCTGACCCCAGTTGTCCCTCAGGCCGAGTCTGCTTCCTCTGCTTTTGTCCCCTCCCCAGAAAGCTGGCACCTGAGCAGACCCACATAGGAACCTACAGATAGGGACTTAGCTCTTCCTCATCACAAAGACTACTATTTAATTCTCTAGTTTTATTTTGTAATCAACAGATTCTAATTTATGCCTATGCAAAAATCAATTTTCTCTTAGATCTGTGGTTCTTCTTATCTACCACTCACAGAGAGTTTGCTCTTGAAGTCACTTGCTTGAGTAGTGGGGGAAAAAGAGTCAGGATTATGGTGGAAACCCGCTGTTCAAAGGGCAGTTGCCCGTCTATTGAGTGAGGCCTGGGGGGGGGGAGAGGGGAGTGCCCTGAGCAGTAGAGGGAGCCAAGCCCAGGCCTAGGCTCGGAAAACCAGAGCTGGGAGAGGGGGCCAAAAGAGGCTCAAGGAGGTGGGGCATTTGCCCTAAATCTCAAGTAGCCACTAGCAAAGACAGAATGAATAGGGCCCCCAGGGCATCATAGTCCTGATTGCCAGAGAAAAGCAGGCTGCTGGGGAATTGTTAGAAGGAAGCAAGGGGCTTGCAGATGGGAATCACGGGGCTGGAATCTCACTGTCAGAGCATCCCCTCAGGACAGCCTGTTCCTTAGGTTGTTGAAAATAGTCTCCCTTCAGATCAGAATTGTGGCCAGACATGGCTTGACCCCGGAGATGTCTGTAGGAGAGCCAGACTGAGGCAGAAGGAACTCCATGGAGAGTAAAACAGAAACGGAAGGAGATCTCCAGAAGCCGCTGCGTTTCCTGTCACCCATCCAGAGGGGCACAACTAGAACTGTGGGGCCCCAAGGTCCTCCCAGCACTCTGCAAAGGTTCTGAGCCCAAATCTCCCTAAACTTCCAAGCCAGATGAAAAGACTTCTTCTGGCCCTTGAGACACTCCAACTAATGTGAACTCCGAATGAATTGGGGTTAAATACAGTACATTTTGGGTTGAGAGTCTCAGGTTAGGGAGAATGCCCTCTTCCCTTCCCTGCGCATTCATTTAATTTAAACCCTTTACTGTTTCCAAATCCACTTGGCATCTGTGACTCAGGCAAAAGCTTTTCTAAAATCTAAGCCCACTTTGCAGCATTTCTCTGATCTAAGTGAAGATTAGCTGCTCAGAGGGCTCTGTTTTACAGGGCATCTGTGATCTCCGCAGCATAGGTAGCCAATGCATCTTTTTGTCCTGTGCACTGCTGCCCTCCCACCATGCAAGAAAACCACTTCATTTAGCTGAGGAGAAGAAGTGCTCAGGGTCTGATCAAACACTTGTCCCACTGAGGTTGCAAATGCCTTTCTTCATTAGGCAATTCCCACCTACATGGTGAATCTATAAAGTACTGAATAGGAAGTGAGGGTTCTAGACCTCTGCCTCCTTGACTCTAAATACAGGGGCATCAAAAGATAATTGCTCAAGGAATGCAAGATAAGCTGGTTCCTACAGTTATCTCAAGACAATCCACTCCATCTAGTAGGCCTACAGTAGGTCTTTGTGGTTCTTCAATACAGAGATCATATAGACCCCTGGGGGGGCATCATAGGTTAGCAGTTGTGACCAACATGAAGCTCCGGACATGGAGACTGACAATAACAGTCACATAGGTGGGAAGAGAACCAGGTGAGGGAGGACTCACAACAATCAGGAGAGAAAAGAGTGTGAAGCAGAAGGGGGCCCTGGGCTCCATCCTGGGCCAGCTTCTCTTCTCCCTCCATTCTATGTCACTTGGTGATCTCATCAACTCCCATTGATTTCATGACCCTCTCTATGCTGATGATTCTCACATCTACCTATTCTGACTGAACCTCCTTGTTGACTGTTAGAATTAGAAGGGCTTAAGTTTCCACAGGTAGAATAATGCAGAGATTTAAAGAACAAAGGTCCCAGGAGGTGGTGCACTGTAGGTGGGCTGGGCTTGACCAATGGGAAGTAAGTGGATTGTTCCAAGAAGACCCCAAAATCAAGATAAGGGTCAAGCCAGCTCAGACCAGTTAGGGTCAACCTGAGGACACCTGAAAAGTACTAGTGTGCCTGCTTAATGAACTTCATTACTATTATCTGACACACCCCGCATAAAATTAGAACCTCATTAACGAGTCATAGAACGTATGACCAAGGGAGGGGGAACATACTTGAGCATATCAAGGGCAAACATGTAAGGAAAGGTGTAACCTGGAAGGATTGGACCAATCCCGGCCTGGGAGGTTTCACCCCGAATTCAACTGCATAAAAGCACACTTTCCCTTGCACTCAGGGCCCACCCCTCCTGAAGAGGGGTGGAGCCCGCTTCTGGCCAGAAACGTCTAAATCCTCTGGACTTTCTTTATAATAAATTTTCTTGATACTAAATTTTTGGTGTCAAGCCTATTTCTAACAATTTGGTTCCCAACGTGGGGCTCGATCTGGATTTCGGAGGGGATAAGGTAAGACATCCCGGGAAGAGCGCTCCCGCTGTATTTCAGCGGTCTCAGTGAATTGAGCCTTTCCCAACCGAACTCCTGATCTAGGACCTGATCTAGGAAGAAGTCCAGGGGATTGGGGAAGCCGGCGGTAGACCACAAGAGCCAATATATTGGGCAAAGGTAAGAAACAATCATTGCTGGTCTCAAACTCCCAAGGTCCGGGGATCTGACCGGTTAGCCTTGAGCTAGGAAGAGATTCGGAGATGGGAGGGGCAAATTCTAAGGTACCTGGAAGAGGGGTAGAAATCCCCAGGGACGACATTTCCTTCTGATAGCCCTCTAGGAAGGATGTTAGAAAGTTGGGAGGACGCTCCCAGGACTAGAGGGAAGAAAATGATTAAATATTGTTGCCAGGAGTGAACTAAGGAACCTGTCCTGGCACCATCAGTGTTTGGGCCTAAATTTTGATCAGATGAGGATTGGATTTGTCAACTGCTAAATTTGTATGTAAATGATGAGAGAGAGGCCTCTCAAGAAGAAAAAGGTCATGCTGGTTGCTGTGGCCCAGGGGCTATAACCCCAACAGCGACAGGTATATTCTTAAGTCAAGTAAGAGGAAAAGAAAAGGAGAAAAAAAAAGAGAGAGAGAGAGAGAGAAAAAAACCTCAGAACCTACTCAAAGGGGACCCTAGGACAAAATGAGTTTGTTTTGACCGGTCAAGGTTAGAAATAGGATTGTGCGCACCCTGTCTGTCTGTCTATGGATGTTTTGTGTCTGCCAGAAAAATTTTGGGGTAACTTTTGAGGTCTGAGATTGGAAAAGGAACACTGGGAAAAACCTCCTGCCTCAGGCTTTTTGGGGGAGACTGAGATTAGAATAAAAAAGGAGAGAATCTCTCAGAAGTTAGTGGAAGGCCAGTAAGCAGCCTTTAACTGATAAGGAGCTTGCAGCCCAAGATGGCTAGGGCCAAGAGAAGAAAAAGGGCCCAGGATTAGAATTCAGGTTTAATGGGATCCCAAGGCTAAGAGTTTGAATGGCTGTCTTTATCCCTCCCGCCAATGTGTCTGGCATAGGGGCAATGTGCTTAACATTACAAAAATAAGGGTTTTGAACATTATAAAAGGTATTTGGGGAAAGGCTAGGAGAGTGCTTTTCTCTGGGTTTGCAATTCTTATGTCCCTTCTGAGTCCAAAGCTGTCCCAGCCTTGAGGAGTGGGTATTTGTTTTTGAGGTAAGCCACCCTTGGATATTGATTCTGGCTGCCTTCAAGGTGTTTTAAAAATGTGAGGAAGTTTGACTCTGCTTTAGGTAGAATTGAAGTGAAAATTTTGCAGATCATTGTGATTGGAGATTGTTACATAAACTGGGCTGTTCAATTACTTATTGGAACTCTAGAAGCTTTCTGCCTAAGGGTAAGGGGAGAAAATTGATTAGGCCTAGTTAATATTGAAGTAGGAAAGAAAAAAGAAAGATAATTGTTTAAAGCAGGAATTATTTACACGTGTCTGTTTAAGGGAATATATAAACATGTGGAGAATATTTCCTTTTAAAGGGCCAAGAGTATTGGATTTAAAACAATGTTTTTAAATGTTTATCACATATAGCCATTATAAATTAGGATCTGATTGGATTTAAGTGTACTGTTCTATAAAGGAAAAACATAGTGGTTATTATGGAAAAGAAAATGAATGATGATTGTAGAGTGTTTAATACAATGGCATATGTTGGAAGTGGCACTATTTATTATTTAATGTAATTGTTAAAAGTACTAAGAGTAATAAGAGTGATAATTTCTATATGTGATAATCTAGAAATTCAATTGATGTTATCTGAAGTTTATTGTTTAGGTTATTACTGTATTTCTAAAATTGTATTTCTAAAACTCTTAGACTGTAAAATTTGAGGGACCATCGTGAGGTAGAAATGGTGTTAAAGTAACTCTTGGCCTAGAATGGGTCTTTAGTGATAAAGAGTGGAGATGTCTCTTTATCTTTAGTGATGAAATTGAGATAATTTGAAACTGTTAAATACCTAGTGAGGTATATTGGGTTTTAAGACTATGAGAGTAGATTTTCATTTACAATCTTGACTATTATAAAAATATATAGTGGTTTAAAGTTATAGTCTCAACATATTAATGATGAGATGAATGATTTTCTGTACAAAGTGACTTAGAAGAACATCCATCTAAATTGATAATGGGTCGTTTCAAAGTTTATTACAGTTGTGGAAATAATTACAAACATATTTTATTGTGGAAAAGCTTATTGATATGTATTTGTAATTAATGAGGTATTCTCTCATATCAGGGCCTCAATTAGAAATTAGAAAAATAGGAAAATATATATGTACATATATGTTTGAAAAACAAGAAAAGCCAGTCTAGTGGGATGGGAGTGGCCCCAGGAGACTGTTGAAACTGGTGAAGGGGTTCAGAAAGAGAGGAAAGGTATTTATAATAATTAATTGGGTCTGGTCCAAGTTTTTAATATACTGCTTACATATTTCTGAATTTTCTCATGTGATGTAATCTGGTAAGCAATTGTATTAGTTATGTTGTTGGAAGAGCAATTCATTTTATAACCTAGAATGTTAAATTAAGAATTGTGCCTTCAGAGAAAAGAGAAAAAGAAATGGGTAAAGGCTGTTGGGGTATTCTATATGACCCTGTTCTGTAACATTTCCTTTTTAAGTACTATAATTTGAGAAATGAGAACTTAAAAGTTTTCTCTGTTTAAAGGAAAGTTTTAGCTGGGATTATTTGGCTCTCACTTATGAAGTTTAAAATTGTTAACTAAGCTATTTGGAGTTACTGTTTAAGTGAATTACTGGTAGAAGTATTTTTGTGTGTGTGTAAAGAAATTATGTAATTATGCAAAGAAAGATTTTGTAAAATCTCGTAATTCTTATCAATCCTGTGCAGGAGTTTTGTGAGGTGGAACTCTTACTGATTAAGTGGCCCATTGCAGACACCTCTGGACTAAAGAAATTAGGTAACTAGGAATTTTATGGTGATAATCATTTAAGATCAATTGAGCCCCAATAATGGCCAAAAAACCTGAACTGATCTTTTCTTCCTGAGTGAGCTAAGAATGCTGATCAAGAGCATGCTTATGTTTATGACCATTGAGGCGCCTTTAACCCAGACACTACCTTGATGGTGGTAAAGGAGACCCAGATGTCCTGGATCTGACATTTGCCTATCTTATTTAAATTTCCTTTCTCATGCTTAGGTTAAACATTTGGAGACCATGAAACTGAGTAACCCAGACATCTTGAGTCTGGATGGAATATCACTTATCACTAGCTTGTGGTCTCTTTAACCAATGTTCAGGTTGACAATGGTAATTAGGAAATTGTAAGCTGTTTTTAAGAAAAGGAGATACTTTTATGAAGAAGATGTTTTGATGAAGCCTTTGATATTCTTTTAGAGGGCCCACTAAATTCCTATTTGCAAGCTAATTTGTTGCAGTAATAATTTATTGTTGATGAAAATTATGTTCAAATCTCTTATGAACTTAGGAGTTTCATTTCTGGGTTTGTTGTGTCCTTGGATTGGACTTAACTGGGTGCTTTTAGAGAAACAGTCTCAGTGGGAGCAGTGTCAGAGATCTAAGGCTAGTGATTAATACTAAAGCATATAAGCTGTAAGTAGGAAAGATCTTACTGTTTTGATCTGAATTCATTCCATGGCCTAGAAAGAGCTAAAATTACTATTTAAACTTCTATGTATAAGATTCGAGTCCTGAAAGTGTCTCATACTTTCAGATTAAGGATGGTTAGAGAGGGATAGATAAGCTTGAGAAGCAGAAAGGCAAATCTATTTGGAGTAGCAACTTATGATCTTAATGGAAATTTGATTTTACTTAGGATGTTATTAGGAACCAGAACATGTGTAGGAAGTTATGCAAGCTACTCACTTTGGAGATGTTCCCTAATTAATGTGACACTATAGTCACACCTGAAACTCTGATGAGGGGAATTTGCTATCTAAGACCTTGGAATCTGTTAATGAAATATTATTTTGAGTCTAAATCCAGGTATGATTAACAACAAACTGATTGAGCTACTGACCCATGACGTCAGCACCCCGCAAAGAGGTTTGTGAGCTGCACCTATGAGCTGCAAGAAGGTGTTCTCATGGGAAGTCGGGAGAACGACTTTTCTGCATGGCTGAAGTAGGATTCTCCTGACTCAATTTCCCCACTGACACCTGGCAGACTTTAAACCTGGCTCAATGCAGCTGGTCATTATATATCTTCTGCCTGGAGTTGACGTGAATCTAGGGAAGCATTGTTCCCTTCCTTTAGTTATGTTCTTTCATGGCAAATTCCTATATTCATAAGTTTGTAAGCATAAATATTGAATCTATTAAGCAATAGATTGATGCAGGAGCATCTGAGGTTATTATAGTAAGATGAAAAAGATTGAGTTATTTGGCCTAGAATTTCAGAATTAAGTATATTCCTGTATAATTCAGGATCCTTTAATTTCTCATAATGGTTATGATGAGGTCTGGAGGTTTTGGGGTGCTGGGACTCTAAGGTCACAGCACAACGGTCCCTTCTGAAGAAGTTCAGCCCAGGTCTTTCAGCTGGGGGGAAGTTTGTTGGAGGTAAACCATATGGGCCAGGTGACCCCCATAAGGAGGAGCAGGCATGAGAAAGTCTGCATTTTATATAGGGGTCAGGGTGGATCTTACATTCACTAGAGTAACTTTGAGTGACCAGAGGAAGGGCTGGGAAAGGGGTCTAGGAGAGAATTCTGATTGGAATGTCTGAGAGATTGAATGGACAATGGGAACAGATAACAAAGCAAACTGGAGGGAGGAGGTTTGAGAGGCATCTCAATAAGATCAAGAAGTGGGGCTGGGCTTTCAAAGGAAGATGGGGAGCTGGGGCCCTTAGACACATAAGAGCTACATTCTTTCTGGAGCAAGAGGCAGGGGTCGACTTGGACCCTTACCCTATCATTAGGGGATAATTAGGCCAATTATTATTCTGTTATTTAGTTAATACTTAGTTAATGTTAAAGTTATCTCAGTCTGTTACAATTAATGTTAAGGAGGAATAGCTTATGGCTTATCTTGTAAATGCCTTGAAAGAAGCATCTACTTTAATTAAGGATTATTTATTTGTACATGACTAGAAGTTGGGATTGTTTAGTTATTTGATATGTACTGGTTTTAAATTAACTACTATGATTAATTCCTTAGTGGAATCTCATCCTCCTGATGAGGAATATGAATAGGAATGAATAATGAACTAATGCAAGTTATAAAACTAGAAGTAATGCAGAATGTAAGGCTAGGTTCTAATTTTTTTTAATTTGAATGTCTTGGAACATGACAACTGGACAAAGTTCCAATTTTGATCTTGTAATGGTGAAGACATAGGGGTTGAGTTAATTTTCATTATTTGCCCTGGTTATTGTGTTGAGATCAATCTTGTAGGAGAGTGGATACAAGAAGAAGGATCTCTGCAGGAGGAGCATCTGCTGGACACTGTTTGAACAGCACTTAGACAAGAAGACTTCACCGGATGATGTCAAGAGTGTCAGACAGCAGTATAAGAAGAGACTTCTGAAGCTTTAAATGGACAATTTATCATTACTTTTGGGTCTCTGTATCTGTACTTAATAAGGGGACTGCCCCTTTTTTAATTTGTCAATGAGTCAGTCAACTCTTTCCTTCCTTCTCTCATATTGTTTTAAGTCCCCAAAATCCCTTGATGAAATGTTGCCCAGCAGCACAGTCCCAGGTAGCACCATCACTAAGGCATTGATAGATAACTGATTAAAAAGTGATGGTTAGAATCCTGGTCTGGCAAATGAAAGGGAATAGCAGCATCCATCATCACCTCTCTCACCTTAGCTGCAGGAGTTTTAACTGAAGTAAGGTGTTGCATCAACCCTTGTATCAAAGGACTAGTGCAAAAATTAATAGAAATAGAAACAGCACTAACTAAAAAAGTATCCCGATAGGACCAGCTATGGGAATTCAGGTGACAGGATCAAGTGGAGTTAGGATGATGATTGAGAAAATTAATGATCATTCCTCTCCTTCTGATGAAGAATTTGAACGAATGTTAAAACACTTTGAGGAAAGACAACAGGAACAAAAAGTGTGGAAACATCATTCTTATTGAGAAGAAGAGGAGGGAATTGTTAGAATTAGAAGGGCTTAAGTTTCCACAGGTAGAATAATGCAGAGATTTAAAGAACAAAGGTCCCAGGAGGTGGTACACTGTAGGTGGGCTGGGCTTGACCAATGGGAAGTAAGTGGATTGTTCCAAGAAGACCCCAAAATCAAGATAAGGGTCAAGCCAGCTCAGACCAGTTAGGGTCAACCTGAGGACACCTGAAAAGTACTAGTGTGCCTGCTTAATGAACTTCATTACTATTATCTGACACACCCCGCATAAAATAAGAACCTTATTAACGAGTCATGGGATGTATGACCAAGGGAGGGGAAACATACTTGAGCATATCAAGGGCAAACATGTAAGGAAAAGTGTAACCTGGGAAGGGTTGGACCAGTCCGGGCCTGGGAGGTTTCACCCCGAATTCAACTGCATAAAAGCACACTTTCCCTTGCACTCAGGGCCCACCCCCTCCTGAAGAGGGGTGGAGCCCGCTTCTGGCCAGAAACGTCTAAATCCTCTGGACTTTCTTTATAATAAATTTTCTTGATACTAAATTTTTCGTGTCAAGCCTATTTCTAACATTGACCTTCAGTCTTTCATCTCTGGCTGATTTTTGCATGTCACAAATTGGATGTCCAGTAGACATTTCCAACTCAATATGTCCAAAACAGATCTCGTTGTCTTCCCCCTAAACTTCCCCCTCCCACCTTCCCTATTACTATAGAGGGCACTACCACCTTCCGGGCTGTCCAACCTTGGCATCATCCTGGACTGCTAATATCTCTCAACTCCCCACGTCCAACCTGTTGCCAAGGTTTGTCCAGTTTACCTCAACAAAATTTCTTGCAGATTTTACCTTTGCAGCACCTCTGGTCAATTTCACCTCTGCAGCATCTGTCCAAAACCATGCTCTCTCTCCTCTGATGTTGACCCTCCCCTGGTCCAAACCTCATCACCTCACATCTGCACTAGTTCTTGGTGGATCTGCCTGCCTCAAGTCTCTCCCTGCTCCTTTCACTTGTCAAACTGAATTTCCTAAGGTGCAGGTCTGTGTCACCCATCTACTCAATATAAACCCAAATAAAACCAAACCCCAGTTTTGAATAGTCAGCTCTAAGAAAGAGACAAATGAAATTGGGGTGTGTGGGTTCACAGTTTTATTTCTCTCAAGCTGGTTTGACGTGCATTGCATGGAAGTTCAGTCCAAAACTGGGCCCCCCTAAGGGGGCCAGTTCAGAACTGGCTCAAATTGGATTTTGGGCAATACAGATTTATATGCCCTTTGAGGAGTAGTTTTTCCCAAGGGATAACAATCAACTCTCAGGGTAGCCCATATTAACATGATTGTCCTGGTGACCCCTGTCACGGGATCGTGTTCAAAGAGACATCACCTGTTTTGACAATACAGAAGAATCAACATTCTCCCAGTCCCATCTAGGGAACAGAATGAACAGCAGTAGACCCATTGAGATTACATCTTAATGTCCTACTGAAGAAGAATTGAACTTAGGAACACAGGGGGATGGGGAAGCTCTGCGTTTCCAAGATAATGAATACCAAGAAAAATTATTTTTCTTTTTTTTTAACATTTTTAATTAATTTAGTTTGAATTATCTACAATCACTTCCCTAAACTTTTGAGTTTTAAATGTTTCTCCCCCTTCATCCCCACATCCCTCCCCAAGAAGGCACACAATTTGATATAGGCGATACATATGTATTCCTGTTAAACGTATTGTCATATCTTACTTCCTTCTCTGACTCTTCACTCTTCCCTTTGTCTCCCCTTCCATCCTTTCCCCTACCTTTTCCCTCCCCCTCCCCTCCCCCATCCCCATCCTTTCTCCTTCTTCCCTTCCCAGCCTAGACGAGGCCATGGTGGAGATGGCTGAGGAGGCCATGGAGCCCGAGGCGGACATCATGGGGCTGTGCCAGGACATGTTCTCCAAAATGGCCACGTACCTAACCAGTGAGCTGACAGCCACCAGTGAAGACTATGAACTTCTGGAAAATATGAGCAAACTGACTAGCTTGAAGTATCTAGAAATGAAAGATATTGCAGTAAACGTAAGTAGAAACCTAAAGGACTTAAAGCAGAAATATGCGGCACTTCAGCCTTCTCTGGATCAGATCACTTTAATTAAGCAGCAAGTAGCAGCTCTTGAGCAGGCAGCTAACAAGTTGGATGCACATTCAAAGAAACTGGAAGCAAAGTACAAGAAGTTAGAGAGGCGATGAAAACATTCATTAGCACAAAGACTTTATAAGAATGTTTCCTAAGAGCTGAAGTAAGTGGGATGGAACATCACTATACTTCAGTTTCTAAAAGGAAGCAGTGCTGCTGATCCAAGGAGGATCCCAGCCCTCACCTCTGGTTGGATGTGTAACTTTGGCCACCCCTTGATGTTTCCTAAACCTGTAGCCCCTAGAACCTCATCTTATCGTGTGCTTCATTGTGTGCCCTGGACCAAAGCTCAGAAATCAGGATCAACCCCATCGGCAGCAGACACAAAGGAGAGGCTCTCCCTGTCTCCTCCCTTTTTCCCTCTCCCCTAGGCCTCCCCCCCACCCCATTCCTAACCTGTTCCTCAACTTAAATAATAAATGATGACTTATGACACTTTGTGATGAAAAAAGAAACATATTGTCATATTAGTGATATTGTAAGTAGGAATTAGAACCAATAAGGGGAACCACCAGAAAGAGGAAACAAAACACAACAGAAGAAAAAAAATAAATACTATGCTTCGACCTGCATTCAAACTCTACAGTTCTTTCTTTGGATGTGGATAGCATTTTCCATCATGAGGTCGTTGAGGATGTCTTAGATCCTTACAATGCTGAGAAGTGTTAAGTCCTTCAAAATTAGTCATCGCACGACAGGGCTGTTACTATGTACAACGTTCTTCTGGTTGTGCTCCCTTCACTCAGCATCAGACCATACAACTCTTTCCAGGATTTTCTGAAGTCACCCTGCTCATCTTTTCTTATAGCAAAATACTATTCCATTCCATTCGTATACCACAACTTAGTTCAGCCATTCCCCAATTGATAGGCATACTCTCAATTCCCAATTCTTTGCCACCACAAAAAGAGCTGCTGTGAATAGTTTTGTACATATGAGTCCTTTCCCATTTGTGTGATCTCTCTGGGATATAGTTCTGGATGTGCTACTGCTGGGTCAAAGGGTATGCATATATTTATAGCCCTTTGGGCATAGTTCCAAATTGCTCTCCAAAATGGTTGGATCATTTCATAACTCTACCAATAATGTGTTAATGTTCCAGTTTTCCCCCCTCATCTCCAAAACTTATCATTGACCTGTTTTGTCATGTTGGCCAATCTGGTAGCTGTGATGTGGTAGCTCAGAGTTGTTTTGATTTCTGTTTCTCTAATCAATAGTGATTTACAGCATTTTTTCATATGACTACAGATGGCTTTAATTTCTTCATCTGAGAACTACCTATTCGTATCCTTTAAACATTTATCAATTGGGGAATGACTTGTATTCTTATAAATTTGACTTAATTCTCTACATATTTTAGAAATGGGGCCCTTATCAGAGAGACTGGTTGTAAAAATTATTTCCCAATTTTCTACCTTCCTCCTAATCTTGGTTGCATTGGCTTTGATTGTGCAAAAACTGTTCAATTTAATGTAATCAGAGTTATCCATTTTGCCTTTCATAATGTTCTCTGTCTCCTATTTGTCATGAATTCTTCCACTCTCGATAAATCTCACAGGTAAACTATTCCTTGCTCTCCCAATTTGCTTGCATTATCAGCCTTGATATCTAAATCATGAACCCATTTTGACTTTACTTTGGTATATGGGGCAAGATTTTGATCAATGCCTAGTTTCTGCCATATTATTTTCCAGTATTCCCAGTAGTTTTTGTCAAAGAGTGAGTTCTTATACCAGAAGCTGGGGTGTTTGGGCTTATCAAATAATAAATTACTATAGTCATTGACTACTGTGTCTTGCATACTTAACCTATTCCACTGATCCATCACTCTATTTCTTTTTCAGTACTCTGAATTTCCAAAATCATAGTTACCAAGACAAATCATTTTTCATATTCCCCTAACTGATTCTAATGAGATGCAGAGCCTTCTCAGTGAATCACTTACTGATATGGTGAGCACTTCATCAAGGGGTTTGTGGAATTTATAACAATATGGGAGAGGGGAGGGAGATATTGATCGATACATTGACAAATCAAGAGGGGGAAGTCCCCTTAGCAGGTACAGATACAGAGACCCAGACAGAAGAAGTAAAAAGAAATTGTCCAGTTAAGGCTTCAGAAGTGTCCTGTCATATAACTATCTGGTGTTCAGGCCACCATCCAATGAAGTTTTGTGGTTTGAGTACTTTTCAAGCAGTGCCCAGCAGATCATCTCTTCAAGACCCCTCATAGAGAGAAATCCTCTTTCTTGGTGGAAATCTCCTACAAAGTCGATCTGAACACAATTTTAAATTACCTTGCAAATAACCAGGTCAAATAATGAAAGTTAACTCAACCCTCATATCTCTATTGCTATAAAATCAAAACTGGAACCTCCACCAATTGTCATGTTGATAAGAAACTCAAATAAAAACCGCAAAATTAGAACCAAGTTTTTATATTTCACATTCACAAATTTGAACCCAGTTTTTATACTTCACATTCCACTGAGGAATTAATCACAGAACACAGTTTTATAAAAAGATGGACTCCAATACATACATAATCCATTGAGTGATCAGTTTTAAGATGGTACATATCAATAAAACAATTCCAACTTCTGGTCTTGTACAAATAAAGAACCCTTCATTAAAGTGGATGCTTCCTTTTAGGCATTTACACGATAGACCACAAGCCATTCTTTTAACATCAAGTAATTGTAACAAACTGAGAGCAGCAGAATACTATCCTGGTTTCCTAAGTCCTTGAGTGAATTATCCCCATACCATTAGAAGGACCCAAACTTATATGGGAATATATACCAGTAACAGATGTCAAGGCTAAATACTTAATTCCCAAATTCCAAGCCAAATAGCTCAACTTTACACTTGCATCTTACTGGAATAACCTCAGATGTTCCAGCATCAATCTATTGTTGAACAGATTTGACATTGGGCTTACAAAACTTTTTGATTAAGAAATCTGCCATAAAAGAGTAGGGACATAAGGAAAGTAAGGCAACAATGTTTCCCTAACTTCTTGTCAATTCCAGGCAGAAGTTATGTAATGCCCAACTGCATTCAGCCAGGCTTAAAGGCTACCAGGTGTCATAGTGCAGAAATTTGAGCCAGGAGAGTTCTACTAAGCACATGCAGAATACTCTTTCTCCAGGCTTTCCCATGAGACTACCCTCTGCATTCACACTGCCCCCATGGGTAGGTGGCTCACCTGGAATCAGACTCAGATTAACTGTCCCAAATGGTCTCAACCATCATCAGGGTTTCAGATGTGACTATAATCCCACATTAGTTAGGGAACATCTTTAAAGTAAGTCTTAAGTAGTTTGCATGCATCACTACACATGATCTGGTTGCTGATTAAATAACATCAGGAGGAAAATCACATTGCCATTAAGATCATAAGTTGCTACTGTGATAGATTTTCATCTGTTTCTCAAGCTTTTCTTGTCCTTCTCTAACCCTACTGCATCTGAAAGAATGAGACATTTCAAGAATTGAATCTCATACATGTGAGAAGTTTAAATACTAATTTTAACCCTTGCTAGACCCTGGAATGAATGCAGATCTAAACAGCAAAAACCTTCCCACTTACCGCTCCTTACAGTAATTGCTTTACTATGACTACCACTACTGCTGCTCCCACTGAGCTACTGTCGCACACTCTCTTTCTCAGAAAGCACCCATGAAGGCCTGACCAAGGACACAACAAACCTAGTAATTCAAACGTAGTTAAACAAACTCGAAATTCACAGTAGGTTTGGACATAATTGTCATCAATATCAAATTATTACTTGCAACAAAATTAGCTTACAAATGGAAATTTTATAGGCTTTCTAAAAATCACACAAAAGCTCGTGCAACACATTTCTTCATAAAAGTTTTTCCCCTTTTAAAAACAACTTACAATTTATCCTGGTGCTATAACAAACTAAATTGATTACAAGATTTTACAAGGTCTTTTCTTACAGAATTGCCAAGTTTCCTTTCAAAAAAATACTTTTACAATAACTCCACATAGCTTAGTGAACCACCTTAAATTTCATTAAGTGAGAAGCAAATAATTGTAGCTGAAGCTTCCTTTCAAATACAGACACAACTTGGAAGTTTATGATTTCTTAAATTACATTACTTCGAAAAGTTACAACATATAAACAGTTAGAATGATCTAACAGCTTCGTAACCCATTCATCTTTTTTTCCCTGACAGCCTAATTCTGAATCTTAACAGCATCTAGATTATAATGGAAATGGGTTTTCTAGCAACATAGGTGACACCACTGTTTACCAAATGTCACAGCTGAGGTAAATGCATCCAAAACCACCTTGCACAGAGAATCATTCATCTCACCATTAATATGTAGAAAGTACAACCTGAAAACGCCTTATGTATTTTCATAAAAGCCAAGTTTTCAAATGAAAAATCTGTTCTCAAAGCAAATATTAGTATTATTATTACTTATTTATAACCAAATATACTTCATTAATTGTTCCTAGTATTCAAAAAGCTTTTATCACATCCTTTTTAAAAGGCCCAATTCACATGCAACAAAATGCAGATTAAAAATTGCTTTGAACCCCATTTCTACCTCACCATGGTCTCTCAGATTTTTACAGTCCAAGACAATTTTAGACTTAAGATACAATTTAAAAACACAGGCAGTAATCTTCAGATGAAATCAATTACATTTTCAGATTGCAACGTGTAAAAATGATTGAACTTATTACTTTTGGTAATTAGAGAAACAATATTAATGTTGTCTAGCATATGCCAGTGATTTTACAATCAGCTGATCCTTACAACATACCTGGGAAGTAGATTCTATATTATCCTCTTTACAGAACAATAAACTGAGGTTAACTCTTGGAGTCATGCAATTAAAAATTCCTTAATGCCAAATAACAATATCTTTTTGCTTAACCCTGAGAGGAAGAGCACTCTCAGATGCTGTTCTTATTCCTTCAAGACAGATTTTGACTTAAATCACATCACATATGGATTAATAATTGCTAATTATAAACATATTAAATTTATTTTTTTAAAAGTGCAATAGTCTTGGTCTTTGAAAGGAAATATTATCCTAAATTCATACATTCCCTTAGGAAGACACGTGGTGA